ATAACTTAGAGTAATGACGTTAAGTATATTTATCTCGCACGGCCTAAAGATTTCCTTTCTTATACAAAACGGTAAGACTTTAATGTAGAGTACCATGATGAGTTACGGTAAATATAATTTAGCTAGTTCCTTTCTGTTTGGCACCGTAGGATCACTTCGATTTCTTTCGCGGCGGAGGAGGAGGAGGTGGGGTGAGCGCCCACCTGGTCTCCTGCGTCCCCCACCCCGCACCAAGACGTAACACAAAAGGTGATGACTCGACTTGCACCTCATTTCTTACTCGTCTCTTATCATGTTTTGTGTGTCCACTGCTTTTCCTACTCTCTTGTGCTCCGGTGTTCTTTGAGTTACCACGCACATTTATTTCGACCCGGGGTTCCTGCCTCGACACGTCAGCCGATGGTTAAGCCGTCTCCCCACGCGACGGGCTTGTTTTGTCCACTTTGCCCTTTCACAGGGAGCACGACATCCGGTCGGTGTGCTTCCCAGCCTGTACCCGAGTTGGAGGTCGACGACCCTCAGTTTACGGCCTAGGGGCTCGCACGCGGTGACAGACCTATTCTGAGCCGATGACTTTATGGCCGGCGCTCAGTCACACGGGACGTGTGAGAAAACCCGCTGGCGTAAGAGCAACATTACGTTGATCCTGCCATCTTCTAGTAACAATACAACGGCCCTGGGAGAGGAAGCCCGGACAGATTCGATCAAACATGCGCGGGGAACGTCATCATGAAGTGATCGTGATCGGACGAGTTCACACACACACACACACACACACACACCACACACACACACACACACACACACACACACACACACACACACAACACACACACACACACACACACGCGCACGCGCGCGCGCGCACGCGCGCACGCACAACACACGCACGCACGCACGCACGCACACGCACGCACGCACGCACACACGCACCACACACACACACACACACACACACACACACACAACCGCACGCACACACACACACCGCACGCGCGCGCGCACCACGCACGCACCACCACCGCACGCACGCACGCACGCACGCACGCACGCACACACCGACCCAGGAGAGTAGAATTATCACTCAACTAAGGGTAGCAGCTCAATACCTCCATATCGTGCCTTTCACACCATGCGTCTGTTTCATCTAGACGTGTAGACCAAGGTTCCGGGCCGGCTTTAGGCTGGCAAGATTGCTGGCGGGGTGCAACATCAGTTTCCGTTTTTCACACTCCCCGTGTCGTCCCTGACCGTCGCGTCTCGGCGGACAAACACGGCTTGTCTCTGATCACTGACCGACGCCATCATTTATAGGAGATACGTGCTAGCATCGCAAAAACGTCTATTCTGAGCTCGATGCTCACCCGCATTCATTCGATACGCCCCGAGGGAAGGATACAGTTTTGTGTGTGGTACCTCCTGAAGATGTTTTTGCTTGGATTGTGATGGTGTCTTTTGACTTATAGCAATGTCAGCCATGAGGGTTGGGAGTAATTGATGAGGCCAAATTAAAGAAGTCTTCATGAACAAATTTATGGTGAGAGATTTCTTTGATGGGATTCACGAGCCCAAGGCAAAATTAGTATGTCTGAACACCAAGGTATTAAATGTTAGTGCATTGCTGTTTTGCAGAAGGCGTATGAGAAAAGCAAACATCTGAAAAAACGCCTAACGCGTAGTTTAAATATCCATTATCATGGTGTCCCATTTTGCGTGCCCGCAACTTGAGAATAGTTCCAGGTTCCGTCAAAAGGTTTCTCTGAAACATCGTTCATACATGGCTGTAGCTAAATTTGGACTAGTTGCTCCAATTGTGTCGCTTATTAAACGATTTCCAGCAACTATCGAACGCCTCTTTTCTAGCAATAAGTCCCAAAGTAATCCTGCAACACTGACTTCAGCTTTCAAAGACACTTTGTTCCCTATTACTATTTGATTATTGGCAATTAAAGGGACTAAAGCGTATGAATGCAAACGCATGCCAGATTGAACCCGTCCTGAGCCTTGTTTAAAAATGACGCAAGGCTGGCATTTGCAATGCGCACCATAAACGTTGCCATTTAACGTCTTACAGATCCTGATGCCTGCACGGTACCCGAGCGGACGCTGTCTGTTCCCGTACAGCAGATCCCGATGCCCGCGCGGTGCCTTAGTAATACCTGCGCGGTACCTAAGTGATACCTGCGCGGTACCTTAGTGATATCTGCGCGGTACTGAAGTGATACCTGCGCGGTGCCTGAGCGGTATCTGAGAGCGCCTGGGGAGTCAGCATGTCACACATAGCATTTGGCATGAGGAGTAGACGCTGCTTAGATGTTTCTGACTGTACTTCAACGGGGTTTAATGTCGGCAACACGGTTTAGATCATAGCAATGACACCTTTGGAAGGGAAGGAGATGTCTTTTTAGCATTTGCCACTGCTTATCTACGATGATCATTGTAGAGCCAAGTTCAATTATCTGTTTTCGAGAAAATAAAGCCATGCTAAATATCTCGCAACGTTCCTCATGTCTCCGATCTCCGAACACTGGGATTGAGGATGGTCAAACTACCCGCACGCTCATTTTTGTTGTGCAGCATCAAGCCTGCTACAAAAATATAATGCTTACGGCAAAAATGAAGCTTCGAGGATGAATTTCCCTTCAAGGCAAACATACTTACGATACTCAGAGGCAACGTTTTAGAAAACAATCTAATATCTTCGCCTCTCCACCTTTGGCAAAAATAACTCCAACGAAAAATTCAACATCGCTTACCGAGGTTTCAGGAAAAGGTCCTGACGCCGCTACGTAAATTTCACTGGCGACAACTTTTTATACTCAACATCAGCTGTGCTTATCATAAGTACCAAAATGCTATTGTACCGCACAGCCATCTTTATTTTTTACGACGATCGATTTTGTTTATTGGAGACAACAAATATTTTTGGTTTGTTACAAATTAGGTTTAACGAGTGTCTTACGTGTGCAATTCATTGTTGTTGTATCGCAACAGCATTTAACACCTGTATTTTAAAAATGCACCCGAGTGGTAGGCAGTCGTCAAAGATACACAGGAAGACATGGCACTACGTGTTGAAACTCTTGCGTTTTTCTGACCAGTCGAATAGGGTATAAGCATTCCGAGTTGCTTACAAAAAATAAAAATATTCATGGTTTATGGGTGATGCGGAAGAGAAATGAAGCAATTGTAGCAGATAACTAATTGGCAAAATATATTGCTAGGACACATGTCCGATCTGAATAAAATAGTGTTGCATGGAAAGGCGCTTAGGGCATTATGCTCGCCGTTCTGCTCACGGTTGCAGGAA